AAAAGGCCGTGCGCGACCGGCATCAAGCAGTTGTCCCTTGGGCTCTGCGGTCACGCTCCCAGGTCGCTAAGACCAACACTAATCCAATTTCCTTTTCAGGTTCCTCAAGAAATACCCTTCCACAGTGTGGGCAGCCGGGAAGTGATATCAGCCCTCATACCCGTAACAGCACACGAGACCAATTTGGTCACATTCAAATCCTTCCTACACCTCTTAATACCTCTCTTATCTCCATGACTAACCCTTCTCACGTCTCTTTATCATCTTGCACCGCTAGGGCAAACGATTCGAGTACGCGGAACGTTATTCCTGGTCTCCTAAAACCACGCTCTAAACTACATGTAGGAGCTTTTACCGTACGAACACTGTGCCAAATAGAAGCTCTCCGACCTGTTCCTAAAAGCTAGGCGCTCGGATGTAGTAATAGTGGCCGGTGACTTTAATGGTCAAGTAGGTAAACTAAGCGATAGGGAAAGACACCTGGGTGGATCTTATAGCATCGTGGCTCAAAGAACAGATAATGGCGACCGTCTGTTGCAGCTATGCTCAGATAACCGCCTGTTCCTTGCAAATACTAACTTTAAGCATAAGGAAAAACATCTTTTAACATGGAGACCCCCTAATTCGTCCCAACGTTGGACCCAAATAGATCACATCGCTATCAGCCACCGATGGAGGGGCTCGATAGAAGACTGTCGCTCATTCTGGAGCACATGCTTAGATTCAGATCATGCTCTAGTGCGAGCGCGTATTTGCCTGCGTCTTACTGGACGTAGGAAAGACGCTGCAAGGAAACCTCTTAGGGCCTACTTAATGATAGTCAAGCTAAGAGTATATTTCAGGAACAACTAGGAAAACAGTTAGGCAGCCATGTATGTGATGCCCACCCCGAGGCAGCATGGAATGATATCCGAAAAGCTGTGGAAACAGCAGTGATATCTGCTAGTAAGGTAAACCAGAAGGTTAGGGAGCAACACTGGATCTCAGCAGCATCTATCGCACTGATAGATGCTCGGAAACTCATTCCACCTGGCTCTGAACATAATGAAGAGCGGAGTCAGCTTAAGCGCAAGCTGACAAGAAGTCTACGCAATGATCGCGAACAGTGGTGGGTAGCGAAAGCAAGAGAGATGGAAAAGGCAGCGGCAATAGGTAATAGCAGACAATTGTTCAGACTCGTTAAGGAAACCGGAATTAGGAACCCGACTGTTAGCGAAACAATCTCAGAGAAAGATGGACATATTATTTATTCTCAATCCAGGAGATTGGATCGATGGGCAGAACACTTTAGGGATCAGTTCAACTGGCCTTCAGCCACACTTCGGTTTCCCACGATCTCCAGTCAACCTGAATGGCAAGTTAATGTAGGTCCTCCGTCTCTTTACGAAGTTGAAAAAGCCATAGGAAATCTGAAACGAGGGAGAGCAGCAGGCCCTGACAGGTTTACTCCTGAGATTTTTAAGGATGGTGGTCCAGTATTAGCAGTGAGATTAACTGAGGTCTTAGGTAGAATTTGGGAACTGGACGTAATCCCATCTGACTGGTCTCAATCACTGATTGTGCCAGTCTATAAGAAAGGACAAAAGTCCTCTTGTGACAATCACAGAGGAATCAGTTTGACTAATATAGTGTCTAAAATATTAGCTTCAATAATACTTCGACGCCTAATCAAAGCTCGTGAAGAGCAGACTAGAGAAAACCAGGCTGGTTTTCGACCTGGACGTGGTTGTATAGATCAGATATTCACACTACGTCAGGTTCTAGAACACAGACACACATTCAGACGCCCCACAATGGTAGTATTTCTCGACCTTAAGGCGGCATTCGACTCTGTTGATCGTGAGGTTCTATGGCAGTGTTTGTCACTGAAAGGAGTACCAAAGAAGTACATTAACCTTATAAAGGCTCTCTACTCGAACACAACTGGTCGAGTGAGAGCTTATGGCGAACTGTCATCAGAATTGATTACCTCAAGTGGTGTTCGTCAGGGCTGTCCACTCTCCCATTCTTGTTCAACTTTGTCATTGACGTACTTTTAGAGATAACACTCTCCTCATCTAAATTTACAGGGGTTGAACTTCTACCGGGAGGTTCACTTGTTGACTTAGAATATGCTGATGACATAGTTTTATTTGGTGAAGACGCTGACAAAATGCAGAGTCTTCTGACCACTCTAAGCAACAATGCAAGCATGTTCGGGATGCGATTCTCCCCTCGAAATGCAAAATGTTGCTTCAGGATTGGGTTACATCGACACCCGAACTAGTGATAGGGAGTGAAGTAGTTGAGTGTGTCGACCGCTTCACTTATCTTGGAAGTCTCATCAGCCCTTGTGGTCTGGTGTGACGAAATCTCAGCACGGATACAGAAGGCTCGACTAGCTTTTGCCAACTTGCGTCATTTATGGCGTAGGCGAGATATCCGTCTATCAACCAAAGGACGTGTTTACTGCGCAGCAGTTCGTTCCGTCCTACTTTATGGCAGTGAAACATGGCCGGTAAGAGTAGAGGATATTCGTAGGTTACTAGTATTTGATCATAGGTGTCTTCGAAACATTGCTCGTATATCATGGGACCATCGAGTAAGTAACAGTTGTTAGGAAACGGGTACTAGGTAAGGATGGCAAATCAATTGATGAAGTAGTGAAACTTCATCAGTTGAGATGGCTGGGACACGTGTTACGTATGCCCAACGACCGACTGCCTCGACGTGCTATGTTCAGTGGTATAGGAGTAGGTTGGAAGAAAGCTAGGGGCGGCCAACCAAAACATGGCACAAGTCCATGAAGTCACTGACAAGTGGACTGAGTCATGTTGGTAGGTGTAGACTACCTGGTTGGGGACCGCGAGATGATAGCAACCGATGGTTAGAGACCCTGAATGACATGGCTCAAAATCGTTTGCAATGGCGCAGGTGCATCCACTCTTTGTGTTCTCCCAAATTTTAATCTCTTATTCCTCCTTGTCTCTTTTTTTCTCTTTCCAAATTTATTTCACTGTATTATACTCTTTAAATAACATCTCCAAACCTAATCTTCCCGATTACTGCTTATACTCTTATTACCTCTACCACTACGGGATTTGAATCGACAACTGCATCTCTGTGCTAATGTGGTGTGGCAACTCGAACTGATGTACGTACGTACGAAGTTCTACGTTGTTACTGACTGACTGGATCCGATGTTCATCAAAGTTGATAATGGGGATAGAAGATTGATTGTGAATCGTGTTCTGTCATAGGTATGCAGGGTGTTGTCGATTCGCCGTTGTATACATCAGGCATGCATACTTACTGAGTTACCCGAAAAGGATACTGGATGACCGGCTAGAGTGACTTTCGGATCACTCATGACTTTCATTATAATTCTCGATACGTAAATTGCATACTTTCAAGGCCTTATCACCGTCAACGAAAATTCGTCAGGCAAGGTAACGTGTACTGTTTCGAGGCCGATCGTTTCAGTTTTACGACTGTGTGTGGCTTGACGAAAAACGGTTAAATGGTTTCGAAAGTACACATCCAGCTATGTAGAATATGAACATATAATATTTACGAAAAACGCTTGTTTGTTAAACAAATTCAATTAAATTTTATGACATTGAGGATAACGTGTTTGCTCGTTTGAAACCTAGGATTTCATGCATCAGATCGTAAAAGATTACTTCCGACTAGACTTAATTCAAAATGCTTCACTAGAATGGTTTAATTGCTCTGTGTCACAACTGACGTAAGTATATCAACAACTTGTAGTTAACTGTAATAGTTGAATAATGTGTTAATTACATGAGCTTATATATGTATATATACCCTTGTCATACGACAGATTCTTAGGTTAAGCTGTTAGCGCTATTTTGGTTCAGTATAATGTTCCTGCGAAATAGACTTGTTCGAGTAATGCACCAATTACAGTACTGACTTTATCCTGATTTCGTGATCACTTAAATGTTTTCTCTCCACTTAGATTTTGTATATTTAATTATCGCTATGACTCCCGCTATCAACACCGGTTTTTTTTGCCCTGATTGTGTTACCCTGAATGAGTAATAGTGCATTTTCAATCGCATAAAGAAACTTGTAGTCTGGAAAGCCAGTTGCACAATTTCGATGAGTAGAGGGAATAATTATAGGTTCCCAGATCGGTACGTTAACATCCAGGGTGTTAGGAGTTAGGTGTTTTTACAGCGAAAGCTGTAACTCAACTAATCAACTTTCAACCGATTAGCGCTAACAGACTAATGTTGAAAGTGCTAACATTTAGCATAGAATCTGTTAACAAACATTCTTTAGTTCATCTTTTTGAAAAGTTTTCTCTCAGAATATATATATATATATATATATATGATTTATTTTTGTGCTGTTTGTAAATTTTTCAATTTATATCGGTAGCTACAGCTAATATCTGTTCTCGCATTTAAACTGGTTCCTAATTCATAACTAAATGGTTGTGTTTATACAACTGATCAGACAAACTTTATGTGACAACTAGGTCGATCTGCTTGTGTAAAAGTTTGTGTTTAGAGAAGCACAGATAACTTTTGAGTTTCCAAGATTTGGGGCAATGTTTGAACATGCATGTTCAGGAGTAGCCAGTCATTTATTTAAAAAATCAACGATCAAAACCTTAAGTTCAATTGAATACTAAAAATCATACTCTACTCAAATATCATTAAATCCGAACAAAATAAATTATTTAAACTTAACTGAGCGATCTCTATCCACTTGAAAACAGTAGCTATGCAAATTTGTGGCCCTACCACATTGAGGTCCCCTGTTGTGGGAAACTGTTTTCTTCGAACTGAAGATTTTTAGAAATTTCCTCTTAGCTGTCATGCAGTCTATTGTAGTGTTACTAGATGTGTGGTGTGGCGCATATATATTTGGCGCAATCCTGTACCAATATATGTGTGTTCAAATAAATAAATAAATACTAGATGTTATCATTCGAATTCATCCATATAGTGTTTTTGTCCTAATTGTTACACAAAATGTTAATTTTTCAGGCAAATACTAAAAAGCAAAAGTACGAACGTATATATGAGAAGAAATTAGCTACGTCACCTGAAGCCCTATGTAAAGGTTATCCTGTAGAATTCGAAAAATATTTGCATTTCGCTCGTGGTCTAGCTTTTGACAGCCTTCCGGACTATGTATTCTTGAGAGGGATTTTCCGCCGTTTGTTTCAAAGCCTTAATTTTGTTCTGGATTATGTGTATGATTGGGCACTTCTGGGTACAAATTCTTCTAATACTAATCAGTCAATAATGAATGCTAATCCAGAGTGTGAAGATAATGCGAATCAGCATCAAAATAATGCAGAATGTCAGGGAATCGATAACACAGTGGGGGCAGCTCAATGTGCGCTTCCAGCACCTCAAGTATATGGAAATCATAACCACCATAATATACCTGTCCAGCAATCACAGCCTCAGCAAGTGCTTCCACATACACATAGCCGTGAGGGAGTTCAGCAATCAACATTTCATTCCCAATTCGTTAGTCAGTCTGGAAATTCAGGCACTCAAACAAATGCGTATAATGCTCCTGGCACAAGTGTAGAGTATGGTATGCGTTGTATGCCCACAGAAATGCGCCGTTAATTCCTTCAGGATTATACAAATAACTTCTGCCACTTTCAGTTAATCGCGCGTGGAGATAATAAACTCTATGCTGTCAAATTTCATTTCTGCCATCATTAATTGGAATTTCGACTTGTTTACTCACTGACAATTAACATCGTTATTTACTTGTGAATAATATTTAGATTCCCACAAAGTTCTCGTGCGCTTTCTCTACCTCTCATCTCAACTCACTGCTTTATTAAATTGATTTCATTTGAGTACTTATTAAACCTGTACTCAATACTATTACGTTTATGTGAAATTAACATGCTCAAACAGAGCACTATCTTCCAATGTTAACTTGGTTGACTGTACTTGTATTCCGGTGTCCACTTTGAACAGGCTGTCTTGCGCTTCATTGTTTTATTGGTATATTAAATGAAGTTTAGTGCATAATCTTTTGTTCATACGGTTTCGTGCTGTAGAACAATATCAAGCAAATTCTTGTAGTGAGCAGTTTTCAATAATACTCAGGTACTTCAGAACTGATATAATTTTCTGTCAAAAGTATTTTGGCACAAACTGTCAATCAATTTGCTTGCAGTATTATTATTGTCACTTAATATCTGTTGTGTTCGATCATTTTTGTAATACACATTGCTGAAGGCTATTTATCTAGTGGTATACCCGTTCGAGTATAAATTCTAGACTCGCGAAAATAAATTTATCAACACGATATGTAACACTCAAGTGAGATGACCGAATTCATCCTGAAATTGAACATTTGTCACACAATACCATATTAAAGTAGTCTTACAATGTGTGACAAGTCTCTTTGTTGTAATGTATTCTGCAAATGGCTCCGAAGAATTCCGCTCGTCAATGATTTACGTTTATATGTTCAGTAGGTTGTTTGCTGCATGGGAATCGAAGATAGTTAATGAGTTACGGTTCGTCAATCAAATTATCATCAGAAGGCCATAAGACGAAAACATAATTGAAATTGTGCGTCATATACAAAAACGTCCATATGCCACAATTTAATAGTATTTATATAGCAGTTCTATTAGCAACGGTATGTGTTTAGCGTTTTTTTTAACCAAGTTCCTTAAGGGATGTATTCAGAAGTAACTGATTCGGTATAAAATATACAATCCTCCCACTCGAAGGGTAATGAAGTAAAGCATTTAACTACATTTCTGTGGGCTGTTGGTTATAAAATGTACTGCACTTTCAGTCAGCGATTGCACGCTGATGACAATTGTTTATATGCAGTACACTTTATATACTTCGACTAATTGAGGTTTCTATGAGATGACCGGACATCCTGTTGGGAATAACGTCTTCATGGGCTGTTGTAGATGAACCATTTAAGAGGCAGCACTAATTCACCATAACAAACTATAGACAAGGATTGGATGGCATTTAATCCCACATGTACTGGACTTACAGTGAATATCGTGCTACCACAATCTGTTTGCTGATCATAATTTAATAAAACGGGAGGATACAACCATTATTGTCGCAGGCATTCAACCTAGGTTAGTGCGATCTCTCGGGCTTTGTTATTATCCCTGCAACACCAAGGCAAAATGCCTTACTCCCATTGCCATGGTGTATCGCTACATTGACTTCCAATCACTGAACACCAGGTTAATTACACCAGTCGCGTTCTCAGATAATCCGTTTCAATCCCAATCTCTTCATCCAGGCAATACTTTGCTGATGCAATACATTAACATCCGCTTCACTAAATAATAGGTCTTTACAATAGTAAATTGAACATCTCGACGGGGATTTAATCCAGTTCATTTAGAAGTAAGATCAATCTATGAAAGCTCCGAAAGGTCTATGCTTACCACTATTTGCGATGTTTGGCTATCGGAAATGAGAGATAGTGAGATTCCCATCTCTCCAAAATGGGGTTGCCCGGAGTATTCCTAATATCTAGTGGCAACAATATAAGTAGGAATGGAATCTAAAAATGGATTTTCAAGAGTTGTCATTCATTTTAGCTTAAAACGGCTTCGGTGGTTTAGGCGCTCTACAAATGTTTACTGTGCGTATAACTCCAACTAGGCTGGTGATTATCATTTCTTGCTTGTCGACTAAATGTGACCACTTAAAAACATAAAGCTAAGATAAGGCTGCAATTATGTATTCTATATTGTGATTATTATTTTACCGAGGTTTAGTTAGTTTCATACTCTGAAATATATATACTGTCTACTTACAGTTTTGTTCTACGTGTAAAACTGACATCAGAAGTTCATTGCGTTTTCGTTTCTATGAATTCCAGTTCAATCAACAAAGTTCACACTTTTTGCGTGACGAAACACTGCGTTGTCATAACAGTAGTTCGAGTGAAGATTTTTTGCTCAGGGTTTAGAAACAACTTAGGACTTAAGATTATGTTTATGTGGAATGAAGGTAAGTATATGCAGAAACTAATTAGTTTCTACCCACAATAAATACTCGTAATCAGATGGTTTGCGCGACCTACCTTTTTCCAAAAAAGACTAATTGTGTTTCGTCATGTAGGTTTTGATTTACGGTCTTGACCAAAGGGATGCATGTAGAGATCAGACGCATTATATCCCCTTTAGACGTGTCTTAACAGATGCTTGAATAATCCTCTAGTTTATCATAGAAGAATACCGGGAGAAATCGTTTCTGTTCGACTCCAACTTACAACTACCATACATAACCTCCTGATTACAGTTTTTAATCTTTTATTACGACAGGAAAATGTTGCTGCTGCCGTAGTATTTCCCTACTCCTGAATGTTGATATAGTTTGAACCTGCTGGTGGAAAAATTACCGTGGTATCCCGAAAATATGGGTTATAGGTCGTTGTGCTCCTCTTTTAACTAAAGTGTGACCTAAATAGTCTCCGCTTTTTGTTCGGCAAGTTTGTAATTATCAAATCTTATCATTGGACAAAGAGGTCATGATTATTCATAGGAAGAAAAATAGGGATCATTTATTATATTTTCCAATTTGATGTGGAAGTTTGTAGATTGTACAGTGATATGGCTATCTGGGATTTATGTAGAAGGGTGTGGCGAATTTATTCTACGAAAAATTCGATGTTTGAAAGAGTTGAAATAAAGATTTGATAAGTCTTATGCATCTTGCAATAAAGCTTCAGTGTTTATGGACCTACCTAACCAACCAATAAAAGAGAAAATGCGTTGGGAAACTTATTTATTTAAACACACAAACATTGGTACAGGGAGGCACCAAATAGATATGCGCCGCATAAGTCATTCAATTCGTGTGAGGGCTGTGATACTGCCCGGGTGCCCACACCGAAGCAGGTGACCTTCCTAGGGAGCCACACTTCGAGCCTTTGACCTTAAGGTCTGGCCCACAAGGCAGTGGGCATCGTGAGGAGACGCAGTCCCATGGTAGCCGGTAGCGTTGGAAAATAGTGGGGAAACGCGCATTTAAAGTCAAACAAGTCTTCTCAACACTTAGTCAAAGAGTTCCCCACGGAGTAAGGAGGTTAGCGCATGTTTAAAAAATGTTTATTGAGAACGAAGTTGAATTAATTCAAATTTGGAAGATATTCCACTGGCTATTTTCTTCGTAAGGTCTGTTCGACTATTGTGAATCAAAATAATCTTGTGAATTCTGAAATTCAAAGAGCAGAAAATGTTGCGATATCTAAATGACATTTTTTACACAATTAGCTACGTGAAGCTTTAATTACGGTTATGTTCGCTAACAGTGAAGACTGTACCTATTCATTAACCGCGTCAATATGGCCATCTGTAGTAAGAACAAGTGACCAAATTAGTCATGTTGACTTACAAATCTGTCCCTTATGTCTTACTGCTGAAGACAAGCGTCTAACGTTTCCAGTTCCTCTTCAGATTACGAAGGGGACTGTTGACTTGAAAGTCCGCAATCGAATTTCCGCGGATGTTCACGCTCACCAAACTTCGACAGTAACTGCTTCATATTGACACTCAAGTCAGAAATACCCGACGATATGTTCTGCAGTACAGTATACAGTCTGTTAAATCCTAAAAACTTAACTCAATCGGACACGTGACTTATTCGTCCTCTAACGCACTGCCCACACGCCTATATTCGTACGTTGATGGCGACGTATCCAATCGTGTCGAACTAGTTAATTAACATCTTAAAAGTAAACAAACCTACTTGACAGTCAATAAGACAAATGCCCTGGTATGGCCGAGAGCGGGTTGGGTTCGTCCTCCCTCTCGAAATACTCTCACACGTAAACAGCCTCTGCCAGGGAAGTCCTACTCACTGCCTTCTCGTGGCGGGGTGTTGTTTATGAAAATGAGAGAACGAAAAGTGAATGCCCGGCGCTTTAACCGGATACCAAACCAATGGTGCACATGGGCTCCAGTATCCTGGGGGAACAAATAGCGTATTTGATGAACCGATCGTTGGTCACCGGCTACCAAGGGACTGCATCTCCTCACGATGTTCCACTACCTTGTGGATTAGACCTTTAGGTCAAAGGCCCGGGGAGTGGCCCCCTAAGATAACCACCTGCTTCGGCCTGGGCATCCGGGCAGTATCACAGCCCACACACAAATAAAGTGAAGGTGAAAATGATTATATTTACTGTAAATTCTATTCACGCCTCAATTGACAGTCAAACAATTCACATTATTATTATTTACCACGTCACTTATCCACTCTCTTTCATTCCCACTTTATGTATCCTTATTTTTCGACTTATACAGCAGCTCGCCTATGGTGGAAACTCGGTTCTATCTAAACGTTCTCGAGTCACTACCTGGTGAAAAATTGTATGCTACCACCAAATACGAATACTGAAGCAGTTTTTCTGAAACCACATGCACCACTCAAACTAGCTGCCTTCAACGTTCGCACACTTATGCAGGTCGGACAACAGATAGGGTTGGCCATATCTTTGCAAAGTCTTAATATCGACGCTTGTTCTCTATCCGAGACCCGTATTCAAGACTCTGGCCAAGTACTACAAATTCGCTCTCCATCTGTCGCTTCAAAAAGCTTGTTTCACGTGCGTTTATCCGGGGACCCTGTGGCATCTTCGTCTGGTCTTGCTGGCGTTGGTGTCACACTAAGCACTAAGTGCGTTCGACAGATACGGTAGTACTAGCCGGAGACTTGAATGCTCAGGTCGGGCGTCTAGGCACAGAAGAGAATCGTTTAGGCGGCCGATGAGGACTTGTTGGTCGCAGGACAGATAACCGGGACCGTCTACTGCAACTGTGCACAGACCA